CACAAATAGAGCCATACACATGGGTTAAATCTTGTTTCCTATATTTGGCACTCTCCTAGGACAAGAAACTTCTATTTATAAGTGGTTCTTATCCTAGCTCTTTGAAAATAGTGCAGTGCCCCCAATGGTCAGAAATGGGTACCAACAAGATGTTCTGTTCTGTGTGTGTGTGTGTGTGTGTCTGTGTGTGTGTGTGTCTGTGTGTGTGTGTGTGTCTGTGTGTGTGTCTGTGTGTGTCTGTGTGTGTCTGTGTGTGTCTGTGTGTGTCTGTGTGTCTGGGCACTATCCCTTTTTTGTTGAAGGCTGCACCTTTCATTACTTGAGCCATATCTCCACTTCCAGGTTTTGGTGGTTAATTGGATATGAATCTTACAGACCTTCCTGCCTTGTCTGGCTTTGAACTGTGATCCTTGGATCTCAGCCTGAGTAGCTAGGCTTGCTTTACAGGTGTGAGCCACCAGGGCCCAGCTTCGAACAGTCCTTACAGTCTCTTAACTGGAGTTGAGTTTACAATTTCAAGAGCTTCAAGCAATGCAACTCACATTCACAAAATGAACAGTCAATTTAAAGCTGACTCCCTGACATAAGTCATTCAGGACCAGATAATGTTCTCTTGGGTATGGAAGATGTAGCTCTCTTCATGCTAGAAATGGAAGTTGCCTCTTCTAAATTCCCAATTAAAAAATGATCATTGTTTCATGTTTTTTTCGAAAGATACCTCCCCCTCCACTGGCTCAAAAAGATTGTTATGAAATGGTAACTCCTCCATACAATACCTTAACAACAATACTATATTTTTGAAAAAGGTATTGTGCTAGCTGCATATTTATGGACAAAATCCAATTGAGATGAATGAATGCTTACTAAATATGAGGTAGAATTCCCATTATGTCATACAAAGGCAGAAAGTTTCAAAGTTCCTTTTACCAAATGAAACTCTCAAAGTACAAAAGATTTAAATTAAATCTACTAATCAGAAGACTTTCTTTTTTACCATGTACTCTTTGAATCCTACACTAGTCTTCTTAATTCATGGATAAAAGTAGTGCTTAATATTTTCATTTTATATTTCAATAGTAAAACAATTTAAATTCTCCTGATTAATCTTGCGACTATAAAAGGAAAAGTGAATGATGGTTGGCCTGACACTTAGAAAATCTTTTAAGAACTGCCTCATGAAAAGAGCTATAATAATAATAATATTGTGCCTATTGTAGCCACTTTATTGTGAGAGAAAAGTGGTGGTGTACCTAACTCAACCTTTAAATGCTTTTGAAGAGCTGAATCTAAAACATTCTTATGAGATAGGTACTTGTGGCTCACATCTATAATCCTAGCCAGTCAGGAGGCTGAAATCTGAGGATCATGGTTCAAAGCCACCCCAGAGTTTGTGAGACTCTTAGCTTCAATTAACTACCAAAAAGCCAGAAGTTGAGCTGTAGCTCAAGTGGTAGAGCTCTAATTTCAGTAAATAAGCTCAGAGACAATGCTCAGGTGCTGAATTCAAGCCCCAGTAACAAGCAAGCAAGCAAGCATCTTATATCTATGTAGAAGAAAAACAAAGAAGGCTAATCAAGAGATTCCAAAAGCACTATGACCCAATTTAACATGAGCAGAGCTAGGAGTCAGAAAATGGTTGTGCTGTCCAACATGGCACTCCCTAGCCATAATTGGCCATTTTAAGTTTAAAATCATTAAAAGCAAACTAAATGTAAACAGCAAGTAGGTCCTCAGTGACTACCAGTGTGGAGGCTGTGGTACTGTACAAGACAAATAACCATTTCTACCAAGACAGACATTTCACTTCACACACCACAGAGTTGCCTGTGGCTACAAAGTTACTTAGATCCCGTGAACCATGATGCTCATTTGTAAAGGTTCATCTAATGCTACTTAAGCCAAACGGTTGTTCAAATGTTAATGGAACAATGTGTAAGAGGCACAAGAAATGGACACATTCTGCACCTAAGAAAGAATAGCCATTAATGCAATCCTGTGGAGTGATCTTCAACTAGCCCCTCCCTCTCCCTGGACTTCATTTTCCTACCGGCAAAAGTTTGGGAAGTTCTCGTTACTTCTAAGCATCCTCTTCAAATAATGAGAAAAGTTTGGTAAGTTCTTTCTTGTTACTTCTAAAGATCTTCAGACTTTTCCGTGAGGGAGCCACAAACTTAGCTACGGAGTAAACAACTTCCTGGGTTCCCCCAGCTCCTTCCTAGCAGATCCCAAAGATTCTTCCAGAAACCCCAGCGACTGGCTCTCCAATACAGCCTGGCTCTCCAGTGTGCTATTTATAAAGTCTGTCTTCAAAGATTACCGGAATCTCTTTCTGCAACTGCATAGACTGTCATTAGAGGCGACAACCCCCTATTTCAGGAGATCTCGCCTTTAGAACGTCTCTCTTAAATGAACACAGGAATTCTGTTTTTTCCTCTCAAGAGCATTTTAAGCCAAAAGGCTTTAAAGGCACACACGTGAGTTAAAAAAACGATTTAATAATGACAGCATTTCTGGGTTTTGTTCTGTTTACTAGCCCGGCTTCATTCTTAGGCGGCTGGTGGGTTCCCCCTCCGGGGTCTAAACAAAGTGAGAATTGTGCCCCCATGGGCGAGGTCCCCTTCCAGAGCCAGAAACTTGTCCAGAGACTTTACCTTCCTGCTGCTGCCAAGAAGCCAGGAAATTTACTGCTTCCAGAGTCAGCCTCCTATGAGAGGGAACCAAGCCTCCCCACCCCACTCCGCCAAAAAAAAGGGGGGGGGCACAATATCAGGGTACCCAAGCTATAGGCAATGCTTCCACTTGAGGCTGGTCCTGGAGGAACTCAGGAAATAGAAATCAGAACAGATCCGTGCAATTGTACTCAAGGCCTAAAACCTTAAAAAAAAAAAAAAAAAAGCGGGGGGGGGGGGAGAAAGAAAAAGAAAAAGAAGAAGAAGAAGAAAAAGGGAAAAAAGCAGAGAGAGGGGGGAAACGTGATTCCAGAACGGATTCCTTTTCTTCCGGGTCTGTCTGCTCCCTCTCAATGCCCACTCCACAGCGACCCCGCTCCCCGCGCCCCACCTCTGGCCACACTGAAAGAAAAGTGGTATTAGTCCCTTCTCCCCTAGCTCTCCCTAGCAAGGCCCGGAAACTGGAAAAAATTCAAATCAAATTAGTTGCACATTAAAAAATAAACAGACAAGCAATCAAGAGTGCCCACCCAACAAAAGACCTCACTCGTTCCAAAATAGGATTAAGCCTGGGGGGGGGGGGGGGGAGAGACCAACCAGGACAGGCAGATCCACGGATGCCTTTTTTTTATTTTTTTCCCCCAGCGTCGGCCCCACCGCAGCCAAAATTCTACAGTTTAAAAAAAAAGGGGTGAGGGGGGTTGGGCTGAAGAGCAAAGAAAATAAAAAGTTGAAACTTAAGGAAGTCTGCCATGGGCCCCGTCTGGACAAAATGCCAGACGCTTCCCTCCGTCTGGGACGCCAGGGCGCGAGCGGAGATTCGAAAACCTCCCGGGGGCCGCCGCACACTCCCGCAAGCCGCCGCCGCCCGCACCGGGAGGGGCTCCCGGGGACCAGGGAAAAGCGGCGGGGTTCGGTCCCGGGCCCCGCCGGGAGTGACAAGCCTTCCCCTCGACCGCCGGCCCGCGCCGCCCCGGCCCTCCCCGCCGCCCCGGGGCGCGCATTCCGCCCCGCCCCGCCCCGCCGCACCCCACCCCGGCCCGGGCGCCCCTCGGCGACCGACTGACCCGAGTTCCGCCGACCCCGCGCACGCACCGAGTCGCCCGCTGCTTCCCGCCGCGCCCCGCGCCCCCGCCCGCACTCCCAGCCGCCAGGCTCGCCAGGTCCGGCCGCGGCCGCCGGTTCCCGCCCCCTGCCCGGGGGGAGCCCGGGGGGCCGGGGAGGAGGAGGAGGACGTGGCGCGCAGAGGTGGCCGGCCGCGAGGCGGGGAGTGTCCCGGGGAGCCCGGCGGGGCGGGGGGCGGGCAGGGGACTCTCCCGCCCGCGTCCCGAGGGAGGGCGCCCGGACTCCGCACACGCAGCCCGGACAGAGCACCCGCACAAACCCCGCACACACATCCCGGACCCCCGCACTCAGCCCGGCCCCCTCACCCCGCACACACACCCCGGACCCCCGCACTCAGCCCGGCCCCCTCACCCCGCACACACACCCCGGACCCCCGCACTCAGCCCGGCCCCCTCACCCCGCACACACACCCCGGACCCCCGCACTCAGCCCGGCCCCCTCACCCCGCACACACTACACACACGCGTGCGCGCGCACACACACACAACGACCCAGCACTCCGCAGACACATCCTGGACCCCGCACACACCCCGCACATACACGCTGGACCCCTCCCCTGCACACGCGCACACACACCCAGGACCTGGACCCGCACACACCTCGCACCCTGTACCCCGCACACATTCCCTGGACCCCGGACCCCGCACACACACACACACACACACACCGGGCCACGCACCCTGCACGCGCACACATACCCAGCGCCTCGGACCCCGCGCGCGCGCGCACACACACACACACACGCCGCCCCCCGCAGCCCGCACACACCCCGGCCCCCGCCGCCAGCGGCCCCCGCCCGCCGCCATGTGGAAAGGCCCCGCGGAAAGTGACACGTCGAAGATTCCGCGGCCCCCGCCCCCACCGGGCAGGGCGCGCGCTCCGCGCCCGGGGCCCGCGGGAGGAGGGGGCTCGCCGCCCACGTTTCTTTTCTCCTTCACAGCGACCCACCCTCTTCGTTCCCGGTCCCAGACCTCGCGAGCTGGGGAGGGGGCGGGAGCCCCCCCTCCGGCCCGGGCTGCCCGGGCTCTCCGGGACTCCGGCGCCAAGTTTTCCCCGGGAAGCCGGCAGCGCGCCCGGGACGAGAGCGCACGGGGCCGGACTCGGCGTCCGCCCGTCCCGGCTTCCAGCGCGGGTCCCCGGCCCCGGCCCCGCTCCCCGGCCTCCATCCCGGTGCTCGCCGCCGCTGCGCGCCCAGCTTCGCCTTACCTTCCCCGGGGCTGCAACGGGGGCTCCAGGCGCCCACACACCGGGTCGCCCCGCGCCTTCCCAGCCAGAGGAGCCCTGCCGCCCCCGCCGCCGCTCCCGCCGCCGCCGCCGCCGCTCTCCGCCTCCGCCTCCGCCTCCTCCGCCGCCGCTGCCGCCGCCGCCGCCAAATAACTACCAGGAGGGTTCGGCGGGGGATTCCGCCATGTCAATGATGTCGGGACCACATGGGGATTCGGGCCCCGCCCCCGGCCGTAATCCGCCGAGTAGGCCCGCAGCCACAATGGCCCGGCTGGCCGGAGCCCCGGGGCCTCGCGGGGCGAGGGGGGCACAGCCAGGCCTAAGCTGATTCTTTCTGGTCCCGCAAGAGCAAAGAACTCCGAAGCGTAGGGACACTACCGGCTCCTGAACCGCAAGGGCGGACCTTTGGCGCCCATAAATGTAGTATTAACTGGGTAATAATCAAAACTGACTTCCTTTCTTCCTCCCTCCCCCCCCTTCCCCATTTATACATATATTTCTCTGTTCGTTGTTGCTGGTTCTCACCGCAGTCTTCTGAGTTATTTTGTCGCGCCTATATTTCCAATAGGATTTTGTGCGTGAAGTTAATTATAGCATGAGAAAATGATGGGTTTTTTTTCCCCCCATCCCACCTCCCCTTTCAGTACCCAATCAGTGTCCTGAAATCTAGGAACTGTTTTCTCTTATAGGTGAACAGCTTGTTGGGGGGGAACCACAAAAGCGCTCATTAGCTCACTGTTGAGTTTGCATTCGTGGAATCAGGTATAATGTGTTCTTGCTACACAGGTTCATGGGTTCCCTCCTACCCCACCCCTCAATTCAGGAAGGGGTCTCAGGAGACCCAGCAGAAGTTAGCCCAGGGAGACTGTCCCCTCCGTGACCTCCAGGTATCCAGTAAGTCCTTTGAGCCTCACTGATGAAGACACAGCGCACTGCTCTCGTTGACCTCTAAAAATAATAACAGTACATAGTATTCTAACAACTATGCCCAGGGAAACAAAAGAACCCTAAGAAACAGCTCCTCTCCTCATGGAATTTGAAGTCCTTCTTTGCAGATAGCAGAGACCTCCCTCCTTACTGGCTTCTGTCCTGCTGACGTCACCAAAGGGACTCTTGAAGCCATTTGTCTTAAAACTTGATTCTAAGTTGGTACCTGTGGCTTATCCCTGTAATCCTAGCTACTCAGAAGGCTGAGATCTGAGGATCATGTTCAAAGTCAGTCGGGACAGACAAATCTGTGAGACTGTTACCTCCAAATAACTAGCAAAAAAACGTAGAGGTGTGGCTCAAGTGGTAGAGCACCAGCCTTGAATGAAAAAAAAACAACTAAGGACAGTGCCCAGGTCCTGAGTTCAAGTTCCAGTACCAGCACATTAACTCATTAACTAATTAATGCCTTGACTCAAACCCTCCATCATAGACCTATAAGGGAGGGAAAAGTTTTCTAAAAGGCAGGCAAGATGAATCCCCAGGGTCCACAGAGCACTACGATGCTTTGCACCTTCCATTTGGGCCCCAGTACTTTCTCCTGTCCAACTTCATCCCTCCAGCCTGTCCTGCCTTGCCTTTCAACCCAGGTTAACGCTCAGGGCTTCCAAAGACACATCAGGCCTGTATTGCCCTTCTATGGTTCAGAACATGCTGTTCCCTCTCCCTGCCTAAATTCATCTAGTCATGCTTCACCCATGAGCTCCAATCAAAGTCTGCTTTCTGTCTCTCCAAACTCCCCCAGGGTCCAAGGCACTTCTGTGCATGATCCCAATTATTTTCAGTTCTCACATTGCTCAGGACCTAATGCATGCCTCTTCTAGGTGGCTGAGTTTCATTCATTTTTGTAATCCTTCACGTCAATCTAGAGTTCAGCTTTGAGTATAGTCTCCTTATATGTTGTGAAGAAGTAATTAGAAAGTATGCGGGAGAATTTGAATGCTTAGATAAACGGGCATACTTTAGAGGGTGAAAGGCTGAATGCAAAAGTTGAAAGAGATACTTAGCAAAATGGGTTTTAGAAATTCCAAGAACAGACTTATTTTTGCCTGTTCCTCCTAATAGATGAACTGGCTTTCCTTTTACCAAGAAGAATCCATATAGAGTAATGAGTGTGATATTACAGACCTGTAATCCCAGCAATCAAGAGATTGAAGCAAGAAGCTTGCAAGTTCAAGCCCAGCCTGAGATGTAAAACAAGACCTAGTCTTAACCCCTCCTGCCCTCCCCCCCAAATCTATGTATAGAAAATGCTAACCGTGCCAGTGCCTCATGCTTGTAATATTAGCTATGCAGGAGGCTGAGATCCAAGGATTGCAGTTCAAAGCCAGCCTTGGTAGGAAAGTCTACAAGACTCTTACCTCCAATAAACTATCATAAAGCTGGAAGTGAAACTATGGCTCAGTCAAGTGGTAGAGTGCCAGCCTTGAGCAAAAAAATCTCAAGGATAGCACCCAGTCCTTGAGTTCAAGCCCTGACAAATAAAGTAAAATGCTTTCTAACTATATGCATGTTCATATATGTGATCTCAATGTTTCATTCCTTTCCTTATCCGTAAGGCTTCAGAGCAGTTTTTGCTTAGAAGCAAAACATGATAAATGTTTATAAATGATAAGTGTTAACTAGAATAGATAGAAGAGAGTTTGTGGTTATAATCAGACAAAAGTTACTGAAATTCCCCAAGCCTGTATCATCTTTTCCTTCTTTCTTCCTTCCTTCCTTTTACTTTTTCTTTTTTTGCCAGTACCAAAGCTGAAACTCAGAGCCTCATTTTTTTGCTTGCCTTTTTCACTCAAGGCTAGTGTTCTACCACTTGAGCCTCTCCTCCACTTCCAGCTTTTTGTTGGTTAACTTAAGATTAGAGCCTCATGGACTTTCTACCAGGGCAGGTTTTGAACTGCAATCCTCAGATCTCAGCCTTCTGAGTAGCTAGGACTACAGGTATGAGCCACTGGCACCCAGCATTGCATCTTCTTACTAAATCTCACTGATGCTGCTCCCTGTCTGCTACTTTTGTTGTGAGGATTAGAATCTCAAGCACCTGATTCTCAATGAGTATTGATTTTTTTTCTTTGAACGAACGAGTGAACAAATGAATAAAATGTGTTTCCTAGAAGGATTGATAGGACAGAAAATTGGAAGCTTCGGAGACAAAAGTGGGATTTTTGATAGAGGGGTCTCTGGTCCTGAGGGTCTTAGAGTGATCCAGTGGGAAATAGATGGAACTATTGAATCAGGGAGAGAATGGAATAGATGTCAAGGCTGATTGTTCTCACAGCAGGATGCAGAATGAGACTCCTGTCAGAGATCATATTCTCAACCTGCTTGGGAAATGATGAAGACGTGACCAGAGTCCTGTTTCTGGAAATGAGAAAGGCCCCAACCCAAGGCAATGAGATGTTTTCTCTGCTATGGATCATGGCCCTACATCCCAAATTTTGGAACCCCATAATGAAAGAGGAAAATAAGACCCAGGGCCCCTAGGACAGCATCTTGGCCTAACAAGAGGAAACCAGATGCAAAAGAGTCATTGTCCCTCCTCTGCCCCTTCTAGTTTTGATACCTGCTTGTGAACCAGGGGAGAGGGTTTGCAGAAAGGACCAGATGAGTAATTAACAACCAATCAGAATGCTGTGGGACCTAACCAATAAGGTGTTACCTTCCCTCCTCCCCTCCCCCCTCAAAAAAAACCCTATTTATAATAGGGGTAACAAATAAGAACTCAGCACAAGTATAAGAACCTCCAGACAAGATCACAGAGATCCACCTGAAGAGGAAAGACTAGATGGCTGACAGAGCAGTAGCAGCAATCTTCAAGCTAGATTCTTTTGTTGTTATAGTTGTGCCATTCCTGGGGCTTGAACTCCGGACCTGAGCATTGTCTCTGAGCTTCTTTGCTCAATGCTGGTTCTTTACTACTTGAGCCACAGTTCTACTTCTAGCTTTTTGCTGGTGACTTGGAGATGCGTGTCTCCCAGACTTTCCTGCCTGTGTTGACTTCAAATGGCAATCCTCAAACCTCAGTTAGGATTAGAAGTGTGTCACTGATGCCCGGCTGATACTTCTTATCTGAACAAAGTTCTTCACACTTATCCTCTATTGTACCCAACTTTATTCTTCAGACTCCTGAGACAGGAACCTAAGGAGGCTCACCACGCTAAACAGTGGAGCTGCAACACTAGCAGGCATTGTCTGCTGCTGAGCTGTGACATAAGTAGCCATTGCCTATTAGCAGTTTGAAATCCTAGTGATCTCTGCTGGCTTTTGACCCAAAAGGGCTGTGCGGGTTCTGTTCACTGAGAGCAAAAGCAGGAAATTCTGTGCCAATACTTTCCAGAAGCAGTTGAGGATTTACATAAATCCAAAAGATAATATCCAAATGAAAATGCCTAGATGTTATGGTCAATAACCAAATAGAATGACTTGCAAACCTGTCCATTGCACAGCCTGCAATGTAACCAAACATATAAAACATTAAAAGATTCGAAGTCCCCATTCCTGATTTCAAATAATTTGTCAGAAAAGATGTGTAATGCTAACACTCGGGAAAACTGGAGAACATGGAGGCTAGCACTGAAATGGCTTCAAACCAGGAAATCTCGGAACACGTCTACATTCTGAGGTGCTGAGATTTGCCACTCTCAAGATCATTCTGACTAGTTCAAAGTTCCATCCAGAAACCACACTGGTTCTTAGTCTTGGGATATTTTTCTCAGCTAGCTAGGTTGCCCTGCGGGGAGGTTTCACCTTGCCTCTACTCTTGAAAGTCAATCTGGACCTCAGAGAGAGAATATCTACTATTTGTATATACCAGCACTGGGGTTTGAATTCTGGGCCTTGACTTCTTGCTTGGCTTTGCTCAAGACTGGCACTCAACTGTTTGAACCACTTCTAGCTGTTGCAGTTTAACTGGAAATAAGAATCTCATAGATTTTTTTTTTTTTTGCTTGGGCTGGTTTTGAATCATGATCCTCAGACCTGAGCCATCTGAGTAACGAGGATTACAGATATGAGCTCCTGGTATGTGGCTCTTTGCACGTACTTCTTATTCTAACACTGAGCCAGATTGGATATGAGC